TCCACCTCTTTTTTCTTTTACTTCCACTTGGCTCCTTTCTTTGATTCATCCCAGAATTGCTTCAATTAAGCTCTTATTTGGCTGAGTTAGCTTATTTTTGGGATAAGTGCCTGAAAATGGAAATAATACGAAATCAATCTAAAACGGTAAAGTAAGATAGATAAAGGTACTAGAATGCCTAAGCTTAAGGGGTTTAAATACGCACTTTTCAGCGCTTATCAGTAGGAGGCTTAACGGTGTTCAGTATTGCTGGAAACTTAGAGACGACGCCGAGATTTCGTTATTGAAGTCAAAGGCAAGTTCTTTTCTTCCTCTTTCCCGTTGGCTTGTGTTCTGTGCACCTAGATGATCTCTAGGAGATTAATTGGACATTAATTGAACCATGCATGACTATTATATGTTAAATTTGATTATCTGTTATCTGTGTAACTTATCTGAAATAATTCTATCATGTATGGTTTCATCGTCTCTGTTTTAGTGTAAAAAGTCACTACTGTTTTAATCTTGTATTAAGCCTTACTGCTTTAAACCAAGGTTTAAATTAATACTAGATGAGATTTAAGACCTTTAAATTCAATTTGGAGGAAGAATAGTAAGGTTGGAATGGCCGGAGACGAAGTAGATGGACTGAAACGGAGCGAAACAGGACTGAAAGCTCTTAGAGGAGGTGAGAGCTGGCTCCGTGGAAGTGGGAGTCGGCTCCCACACTCTTAGAGCCGGCTCCAAGATGCATGGAGCCGGCTCCATGTGCAAAAGAGCCTGCTCCCAAGTTCATGGAGCAGGCTCTCTCCAATTTACACTTTCAGATATATTTTTTTATGCACTGTTGGTACTGTTTGAGCATGGAAACTATTCTGATGGTTCTGGGTCTTCACAGAGGGATTAAGAAATTGATTATGGGTGTTATTAAGACCTTAACTTGATTAAAGTTGATCTCTAAGTCAATGGAACAAACAGTATAAAATTAATAAACTTTCTATGCTGTTAACGGATGGAAGAGAAATAAATTGCTTAATTAAATTTTAGCAATTTAATGGGATTTAGTATGTTTATAAAACTTATTTTAAATGCATGATAGGGTCATTTATTTATTTGTTTTGATCTATGCATGCTCCGGATGTCAATTGTTGAAATATTTAACATTTTCTGCAATTGCATGGATTAACGCTTGGATTATAGTCGCTGAAATACTAAACACTTTTCTACAATTATTTGGATTATGATTTTGGACTGTAAATTCATAAACTATTATTTATGTGTTGTAATTTACATGGATATGGAGGATTGTATGCATCGGTATGGGACGGTGGCATACTAGGGACGGTTTAGATCAAAACGCTAAGACCTAACCTACTGGATGAAAGGAATGGAATCCTATTTGTGTTTAAGTCAAATCAACTGACTAAGTTGAATGACTTCCTGGATTAGTTGGTTGTAGTTAAGTCATATCAACTGAATAAGTTAAGTGACTAACCGAACTATATTTTGTATGTCACCTCAATGAATAATTGAATGACATACTCTGGTTTTGGGAAGGACTTCAGATATATGGTTATGGTACCATGAGATGAGCTTAAGTCTCAGGCTCGTTGGTTAGGGTGCGTATATGCAGTGGATGCGTAGCTGGCTATGGTAGGTTGAGGTGTACCCTATTAGGTCTAGGTACTCATGCCCACCTTTGGGTGCGTTTTTGCATATTGCCTTCTGTCCAGGTTGAGACCCCTATTGTGGTCCAGTGAATGTCCCTTAGTGAGGATATATATATACCTATGGACTAGATAACTACTATGAGGTATCTAGGGTGTATCTGCGTATCGGGTCACTGTATGGATTGTAGTTAGATTAGAACTTATTTGTGAGCCTGACCCACTCTTTTATTCTTTTCAGGTATAGGACGGTTCCAGCCTTAGAGCTTGATCGTGCTTGTCGAGGACAATCTCTTTTTCATCTACTTACGTAGGATATCTTTCGATGTTCTAGTTTAGTTTTATTTTCTGTTATTCAATTCAATTGGGATTTTTATTTAGGGGTCCACTAGATGGATTCCCAAGTTGTACTCTTAGAGGTTTTGGAGAATTGGAATATTTTTATTCAGTATTATTTGGAGGATTTATATTTCAAAGTTCTTTTCAGTTTTGTTATTTAAATTCTTAAATCTTTATATTCTGTGTTCGTTTTAAAATACTTTAATTGTTTGAATTCCCTCGGGTTTGGGCATGGGCCTGATCAACCCATGTCTCGGATCCGAGGGGTATCACAGTACCCGCCCCATTTTTGGCAGTTTTAGGTGACCGTTTAGCTTATTTGGACGGGGATGATTTGATGTAAGGAAAACCGGTGCGGGTTCGGTGCGAGGGCGGGGGGAGGTTGCCCCACTCCGTTTAGATAGCTAAATTACTTAAATACCCTTATTTCAATACTATATATAGTTCGCATTAGTACCCTTATTTCATTAGTATATTATTTCATTAATATATTAATTGAGACAGTTTGTTTTGCAACAAAATCTGAAAATCTGGAACAAGTAGATTCTGCGACCATTTAGAATGTTTTTCATGTTGAATTTTATGTTAAACAATTTATTATCCATTTTTTTTTTATAAATCTTTTGAATAATTATATAACTTTAGTTGACAAACAAAAAAATTAAATGGATGTGAATTTTTGGCCTTAAACAGGGTGGGGCGGGTACCCGTTAGGGTAAAGAGGTTAAACAGGGGCAGGGATAGGGTGGAAAGTCCCCCCGTTTTTGTGGTTTTAGGTGGGGATGGGGGTGGGGTTTTTAAAGGGTTGCAGAGCGGGGGAGGGTACTGTTCAACCAAGAAGGGGCTGAATTGGTTAAAACCTTTGCTTAATTAAACTTTCTTTAAACAGATAAATAAGCATTCAAAGATCAATCAAAACCAGATTTACAAGGAAACCCTCTTAATTAGGGAAAACCATGGTTCTTGGCCAATGCCAATATGAAATCCACTACTAGTTGAATGTATCTTGTTACACACTCAGTTGTCTCACTCCCTGCACACACCCAAGCACAAGAATAGACACTAGTTTTCACAACCAATACACACACTAGTACACCACAGTGCATACAAGCACTCCCCCTGTCCTAAGCAACCATGCTTGACCTATTAAGCTCTCAAAGCTCACAACACACACCATTACAGATGTGAATCAGTATAAAGAAGTCTTTCCTACAATTATAATAGGCTAGATAAAATAGATTCCAAGTTACTATTTCAAAACTGCAATCTGCTACTCTTAGGGTTTGAGGGGTAAAATGGAAAATTCCTTTCGAGATCAATTTAGCCACACCTCACACAGTCTTTTTCACTATAGTACTCATGTTTATAGCTTTATACAATCAAACACAGCATGAGCATATATCTCAGATCAGTCACAGTCCTTATATTAGCACAAGACAGCCTTAGCCTTAAGGTTTGGAAACTTAAAAACAAAGCATACCATTTTTCTGTCACAAGGCCAACTTTAACAATCTTGATTCACCAAAATATACTTGCTAGTAGTTTAATAACTCAAGAAATAGCACTGTATAATAGATCAGTACTTGAATCCAAGATTAAAACAGAAAAACAAGCTTAACTAGTGATCTCACAGCCCAAATCCATTTTCAGCATGTTTACAACATAAACACAGTATTGAGTAAGTGTAAATAGCTTGGTTATACCTGAAACAGCCCTTGAAATAGACCACAGTAGCTTGGAACTCAAAATCACTACTCAATCCAGCCCTTGCAGCAGTAATTCTGATAGCAGCATCATCTCAGCACCTTGTACATACACCTAGGTTGATTTAATGGGTTTTTCTTGCATGGATCATCATCAAATATTTAAAGCTCTTGAGAGAATGCTCACTGCAGCTCACTTTTCTCAATTCACATAAGGCTTTTTTAAAAACCTAAAGTGCCTTATCACAGCACATATATACAAGTGTATACACACAACAACCCTTGTGTAGCTACTACACTACACCTGTCACTTTTCACCAATCATTGGGAGAGTATAGTTCAGATATTTTCAAGGCAATAAACCAATGAAGGCCTGCCACCTCAGCTGTTTTGTCAGTATTCTAACCAACATTAACCGGTTGCAGGTTGTATGCTGCAATGACAACTTTATCCAGACTTAGCCTCTAAGAAATGAATATTCTTGCATATACAACCGTTCTAGGACCACTGATATGTGACACATTCTTAAGCACTACTGTAAAAGACAAAAATACCCTTGTAATAGATTTTATGCTTCTCAGCCAACAAATAGTCCTGAGACTATACAATTCACAATGCAGGCTCACTCAAGGCTGTTCAGTGCAATGCAGCTATCAAAGCACATGTATAGCCATGAAATTCAACTTGTAAAAGACCATAGTACCCCTGAGAACACCTGTAGCTAAATTTGAAGAGCCAAACCTTTACTGTTACAGTGATTTTAGCAAGAACAGATAAACACACTACAATGTACCATCTCAGACCAGTGTATAAACTGAATTACAAAGTAGTAATTGATAGTACAATCCGTGGACTTTATTTCAAAACACAATGCAGATAGAATTCATACTTACACCCACTGAAACTATGCTTTTTGACATTAAGAAGGCAAACATTCCTTAAGGCAGCTTAGGACCAACAATCTCCCCCTTTTGCCTTTAATGACAATAACTAGTTGAACTTGAATTAAGATCTTGAGAATAAGAACTTCAAGGATGTAGTAAGTAACATAGCCCAAATGTAACAAGAATAGCTTGAGATCATCCTTATTTTAGTCCATTTCTCCCCTTTTTGACAATGAAGGTCAAAAGGTGAGTAAAACCAAAAATATAAGTTTAGGAGGGAGGTGGAACAACCCTAAGAAGATTTCTAAGGGTTAAAAATCTCTGAGGAAGAAGAGGTTTGGTTATGATATCATCAAGTTGATCCTCAGTGGGCAAGTAAGTAATGTTAATAAAGCCTTTTTGAACTTTATCTCTGAGAAAGTGATACTTTATGTCAATTTGTTTGCTTTTCCAGTACAGTGTGGGATTTTTGCTGATAGCATTAGCACTTTGGTTGTCACATAATAACTTAGGAGCCCTAAAAATTGAAGTCCAAGGTCTAAGAGTGTAGTTTGCATCCAAAGTAATTGTGAACCAACTTGTGAGGCAGCTATATACTCAGCTTCAAAGGTTGAAAGAGAGACAGTGTCTTGCTTTTTACTTAGCCAAGATACCACATTGGACCCAAGAACATAACAGCAGCCAGAGGTACTTTTTCTATCAGGTAAGGATCCACCCCAATTAGCATCTGAGAAGGCTGCAATGGATATTGAGGGTGAGAAAATGTAGTAGAGACCATATGAAATGGTGCCCTTGACATATCTGAGAATTCTTTTGGCAGCTTGAAAATGAGAAGTCCTGGGATTACTCTGGAATCTAGCCACTAAACCCATTGAGTACAATATGTCAAGCCTTGAAGCTATAAGATATAGTAGACTACCAATGATAAACCTGTAAAGAGTTGAAGGGACTGCTTCAGTGGTACATTCTTGTGACAGTTTGGTATTAGGACATAGTGGTGTAGAAACAACCTTGCAATCATCCATTTTAAACTTTTTAAGTAATTGAGAGGCATACTTTTGCTGAGAGATGAAGATTCCATTGGATGTTGAGTAATTTGAAGGCCTAAAAAATATCTGAGAGTTCCCAAGACTGACATTTCAATCCTTGTCTTCATGAGATTAGCAAAGTCTGAAGCAAATGAAGTGTCTGACCCAAAAAACATTATATCATCAACATAGATTTGCAGAATTAGAAACTGTTCTTGATGAGTTTTTACATAGAGAGTTTTATCAACCTTGCCTCTATGAAATCCTTGTTCAACTAAGAACTGATGCAGCTTTTCATACCAGGCTCTGGAGGCTTACTTAAGACCATACAAAGCCTTACTGAGTTTGTAAACATGAGAGGGAGATTCTAAATCTTCAAAACCTTCAGGTTGTTCTAAGTATACTTCTTCATTTAGGTCTCCATTAAGAAAGGCAGACTTGAAATGCATTTGGTACACCTTGACTTGTTTGTGACAAGCAAAAGATAAAAGCATTCTAATAGATTCAATTCTTACAACTGGAGCAAAAGTTTCATCATTATCAATACCAGCCTGTTGAGAGTAACCTTTACGTACTAGTCTTGCCTTATTTCCTATAATTGATCCCTTCTCATCCATTTTATTCCTGAAAATCCACTTTGAGCCAATTACATTCTTGTCTTCAGGTCTAGGAATAAGTGTCCAAGTATTATTTTTATTAATTTGCTCAAGTTCTTCTTGCATGGTAGCTATCCAATCTTTACTTTTCTGAGCTTCAAAATAGGACTTTGGTTCAATGGATGACATCATAGCAAAATGACTATATTCTTCACCATCTTCAGCTTCTAAATCAGTAAGTTTCTTTTTGTTCCTTGTTTGAACTCCAGCTTGAGATGAACCAATGATGTTCTCAGCTTAGATTTGCTTCTGCAGCACTAGATAAGTGGTTTCCCTTGGGCTTTCAGGATTAACAACTGAGGAGCTGGTTTCATTTGAACCAAGAGTGTTATTACAGTCTTTAAGAGGTGTGGACTTAGGATTCTCATCAAATTTCACGTGAATTGACTCAACCACCATTGAGGACCTTAGATTGTAGCACCTGTAGGCTTTACTTTTTGTAGAATACCCTAAGAATAAACCTTCATCTGCTTTTGAATCAAACTTGCCCAAGCTGTCAATGTGGTTAAATATATAACATTTGCTACCAAATATTTTGAAGTAGTGAACAGTTGTAGACTTCCATACCATAATTCTTAAAGAGTTTTGGTTAAATTAGGTCTGAGAAGAACCCTATTAATAATGTGCACAACGGTACTCACAGCTTCAGCCCAAAAACCCTTTGTTAGACCTTTTTTTAACAACATTGTCCTTCCCATTTCTTGAACTGTCCTGTTCTTTCTCTCCACAACCCTATTCTATTAAGGAGTGGGCACAGCTGAGAATTCTTTCTTAATCCCCTTATCATCACAATAGTGCTCAATTCTTTCATAATAAATTCAGAACCAAAGTCAGACCTGAGCCTCATCACAGTGTTACCTCTTTCATTTTTCACAAGATTAACAAACTTAATGAAGTGTGTGACCACTTCTGATTTCTCTTTTGGGAAGTAAACACCACACCGTTCTATTAAAATCATCAATGAAGAGCATGAATTACTTACTTCCACCAATGCTAGTGGTCCTGGTAGGACCACAGAGATTCATGTGTAATAAGTCAAGTGCTCTTGAGGTGTTGATTTCTTTTAAAGGAAATGACACTTTGGTTTGTTTTCCTTATTGACAGGCTTTGCAGAGATGATCATCTTTAAAGTTAAGTTCTGAAAGTCCTTTGACAGCTTTTCGTTTCAAAATCTTGGATAAATTTCTTAAATGAAGATGCCCTAGTCTCTTGTGCCACAGATTAGCTTTATCAGAGGTTGTCAAGTTGCATTGAGTAGTTTGGAATTCTTTAATGACAGTATAAACATTTCCAGAAGATCTACATGCTGAGAACAGAACCTGTTTTGATTTAAGATCATCCACATTGCACTTCTCTTTATCAAAACACATAGTCCTTCCACTGTCATACAATTGACTTACATTGAGAAAATTGTGTTTGAGTCCTTCAATAAGTAGAACTTCTTGAATCTCTAGTAATTCTTCAGACTTGCTCACAGTGCTAATACCAACAATTTTAGCCTTCTGATTATCTCCAAAGATCACATCTTCACCATCAAATTGTTTCAAAGTAATAAATTTAGAACCATCACCTTTCATATGTCTTGAGCAACCACTATCAATATACCATCTGTCCACTTTGTTACAGGCCTTGAAAGCTGTATACACAAGTAAATTCACTAAGTTGAACTTCTTGGGAATCCATACCAATCTAGATTTTACAATGGACTCTTTGTCCTTGACCTTCTGAGCTTGAGCTATGTCAGACTTCTTCATATACATTTTAGTCACTTTGAAGTTCCTTATAGATGTTGTAACATAGTCACTTCTATTTAGTCTTGAGAAGTTGAAACTGTTATCAGGCAAGTCAAACCTTGATCTCAGAGGTTTTATAATGGGATACCTGGAATACACTTCACCAGTTGTAGCTTTAACAAACACAAAATGAGTTAGTAGCTGTATCACACACATAGCCAATTCCAGTCTTCCCAATTTGCTTGGTGAATTGTTTCCAGATCTCAACCATCTTTAAGGATCTCTCTTCAAGAATGAGAGACTGTTCTTCTTTACACTTCTTGGTAGACTACTGAGTGTAGATTAAAGGTTTTAATAGGCTTTAAAAGGTAAGAGAGATTGAACATAGCATTGACAGTTTAAGTTTGAAGTGTTTTGTGAGAACTTGTTTGGACTTTACTAATTTTGAATTGAGCCTTTTTATTTGAGACTTCCGTTGATTATACTTCATACCAAGCCTCTCACATTCTTCTAGAATTTCCTCAATCTAAGTGTCACTATCTTCTTCAACCTCAACTTGAACTAGAACTTGTGTTGTTTCAAGGATTGCCATAAAGAGACATTCATCGTCTTGTGTTTCCTCAAGTTTATCATCTTTAGGGGCTACATCCCAGTCTGAGATAAGAGCTTTTCTACTAAACCTTCCTTTGTAATTAGCTCTCTCATTCTTCCTCTGATTCTGCCCCTTTGAGTTAGGACAGTTTGACACAACATAACCAGGTTGACCACAACCATAGCAAGTTAAATTTTGTAGCTGATTCTTCTTTTTGAACCTGAACTTTCTGAATTTCTTTGCAAGGTAGGCTACCACATCTTCTTCAAGATCATCTTCAGACTTTGTTTCTGTTTCTTCAACAACTTCCTTAGCTTTAAGGGATGCTTCTCTTTTGTGAATAATTGGAACACCAATTCTCGTCTCATAGGCAGTGAGGGTGGCTTGAAGCTCATCAATCTTTATCTGAGAAAGATCTTTATCGTTGAGAATTATTACCTTAGCATTAATTTTAAAAGTGAGTGACCTGAGTATCTTCTTGCAAACATCAACATCTTTAATATCTTCACCAAGAACTCTCATATTGTTGACAAGGTCATTAATTCTGAACATGTACTCAGCAACAGTTTCTCTTTCTTCCATCTTACACACCTCATATTGTACTTTGAAGAGCTGTATCTTATTTTCCTTAATAACATTGTTTCCCTCATAAGCTGCTTGAAGAGAGTCCCACATTTCCTTTGCTATTTTATAATTTTTAACTCTGGTGAACTCTTATTGCCTCAAGGCACAAAAGAGAACATGTTTGGCATTGCCATCATTAGCCACAGCAAGTTTATCTTCAGTAGAGGGATTTTCAGGATTTAGAATTAGAACACCATAAATGGCAACATGCCAAACATCATAGGACTGAGACATCAAGAAGGCTTCCATTCTAGTTTTCCAAGAATCATAGTTTGAACCTTCAAATCCTGGAGCTTTGTTCATGACTTGACCTTCATCCATTTCAAGGATCAACTACAGACTCATTAGAACCTCACAATGCAGACCAAAGCTCTGATACCAATGGTTGAACCAAGAGGGGGATTTTAAAACCTTTGCTTAATTAAACTTTCTTTAAACAGATAAACAAGCATTCAAAGATCAATCAAAACCAGATTTACAAGGAAACCCTCTTAACTAGGGAAAACCTTGGTTCTTAGCTAATGCCAATATGAAATCCACTACTAGCTGTACGTATCTTGTTATAGACTCGGTTGTCTCACTCTCTGCACACACCTAAGCATAAGAATAAACACTAGTTTTCACAACCAATAGACACACTAGTACACCACAGTGCATACAAGCACTCCCCCTGTCCTAAGCAACCATGCTTGGACCCATTAAGCTCTCAAAGCTCACAACACACACCATTATAGATGTAAATCAGTATAAGGAAGTCTTTCCTACAATTACAATAGGCTAGACAACACAGAATTCCAAGTTACTCCTCAAAACTGTAATATGATGCTCTTAGGGTTTGAGGGGTAAAATGGGAAATTCCTTTTGAGATCAATTTAGCCACACCTCACACAGTCTTCTTTCACTATAGTACTCATATTTATAGCTTTGTACAATCAAACACAGCATGAGCATATATCACAGATCAGTTACAGTCCTTATATCATCACAAGGCAGCCTTAGCCTTAAGGTTTGGAAACTCAAAAACAAAGCATACCATTTTTCTGTCACAAGGCCAACTTTAACAATCTTGATTCACCAAAATATACTTGCTAGCAATTTAAAAACTCAAGAAATAGCACAGTATAACATATCAGTACTTGAATCCAAGATTAAAACAGAAAAACAAGCTTAACTAGTGATCTCACAGCCTAAATCCATTTTCAGCATACTTTCAACATAAACACAGTACTGAGTAAGTGTAAATAGCTTGGTTGCAGACCACAGTAGCTTGGAACTCAAAATCACTACTCAATCTAGCCCTTGCAGCCAGCACCTTATACATACACCTAAGTTGATTCAATGGGTTTTTCCTGCATGGATCATCATCAAATAGTAAAGAAAAACTTATTCATTCAAAGCTCTCGAGAGAATGCTCACTCCATCTCACATTTGTCAATTCACATTAGGCTTTTTTAAAAACCTAAAGTGCCTTATCACAGCATATATATACAAGTGTATACACATAGCAGCCCCTGTGCAGCTATTACACTACACCTGTCACCTTTCACTAATCATTGGGAGAGTAGAATTCAGATATTTTCAAGGCAATGAACCAATGAAGGCCTGTCACCTCAGCTGTTTGTCACTATTCTCACCAGCATTAACAAGTTGCAGGTTTTATGTTGCAATGACAACTTTATCCAGACTTAGCCTCTAAGAAATGAATATTCTTACATATACAACCATTCTAGGACCACTGGGACGTGACACATTCTTGAGCACTGCTGGAAAAGACCACAATACCCTTGTAATAGATTTTTTGCTTCTTAACCAACAGATAATCCTATGACTATACAATTCACAATGCAGGCTCACTCAAGGTTGTTCAGTGCAATGCAGCTATCAAGGTACACGTATAACCATGAAATTCAACTTATAAAAGACCATAGTATCCCTAAGAACACCTATAGCTAAATTTGAAGAACCAAACCTTTACTATCACAGTGATTCCAGCAAGAACAGATAAACACACTACAATGTACCATCTCAGACGAGTGTATAAACTGAATTACAAAGTAGTAAATGGCAGTACAATCCCTCAATTTTATTTCAAAACACAATGCAGATAGATATAATTCATACTTAAAGCCACTGAAACTATGTTTTTTGACATTAAGAAGGCAAACATTCCTTAATGCAGCTTAGGACCAACTGGTACACTGTGATACCCCTCGGTTCCGAGACATGGGTTGATCAGGCCCATGCCCAAACCCGAGGGAAATCAAACAATTAAAGTATTTTAAAACGAACACAGATGAAAAAAAATGAAATAAGAATAACTATTAAAAACTGAACAGAATACTAATATAAAATCCTCAATAGCCTGATAAAACTTAATAAAATCCAACTTCCAAAACTTCCATGAATTACAACTCGGGAATCCATCTAGTGGACCCCTAAATAAAAATCTCAACTGATACGTAAACAACTGACATAAAACCAAATACTAAAATATGGAAGGACATCCTACGTCGTCGGTGGAATGAATGATAATCCCTGCACAGCACGATCAAGCCTAAGACTGGAACTGTCCGATACCTGAAAAATAAGAGTGGGTCAGGCCCACGAACAAGTTCTAATCTAACTGCAATCCATACAGTGACCCAATACGCAGATACACCTAAATACCTCACAATATCTATCTTGTCCATACATAAATATATCCACACTAGAGGACCTTCACTGGACTATAATGGGGTCTCAACCTGAGTAGAAGGCAACATGCAAAAACGCACCCAAAGGTGGGCATGAATACTTAGACCTAACAGGGTACACCTCAACCATCATATCCAGCTATGCATCCCAATGCATATACGCTCCCTAACCAACGACTCTGAGACTCATGCCCATATCGTGGTGCCATAACATATATATAAAGTCCGTCTAACCCAAGGTATGCCATTTTATTATTTATTGAATTGACATAAGAATTTTAATCCAATTTAGTCATTCAACTTAATCAGTCGATCTGACTTAAACACAACCAACATTTAATCCAGTTAGTCATTCAACTTAATCAGTCGATCCGACTACACACAAACACAATTAATCCAGATAGTCTTTCAACTTAATCAGTCGATCTGACTAAACAAGGTTTAGGATTCAATATTTCACAATCCATCCCTTAAATCCAATAGATTAGGTTTATACGTTTTGAGCTAAACCATCCCTAGTATGACACCGTCCCATACCGGTTCATACAATCCTCCATAACCATGTAATTAACAGAATATATTAATTCAGCAGTTAAAATTTCACACATATATAATCATTTAGCGATTTATAATACAAAACCAATATCCAAGTAATTGCAGAAAAATATTAAAAGTTTCAGCAATTAAATCCAAGCATTAAACCATATAGTTGTAGAGAATGATTTCATAACTTAACAATTAACATCCAGATATGCATAGATCAAATCTAATATAGCATTAACTCTATCACGCATTTAAAATCCATTCTATAATCATATTATAGTCCAATAAATTGTTAAAATTATTTTAAGCAATTTAGTTCCTTCCATCCGGTAACAGCGTACTAAGTTGTATACTTGTACCCTGTTTTATTCCTTTTAACACAGGGCCATACACTAATCCATAAGTCTAATTTGTTAACTAAAATACTACTCCGTACGTCTAAAACTTAATTTAGAATCATGCTTTAGCACCCTAAATTGTCAAATTAAAACTAGACAATTTATTACCTTCTGGCCGTCAACCGCATAGAAAGTTCACTAATTTGCTACTGTTTGTCCCATAGACTTAGAGGTCAATTTTAATCAATTTATGGTCTTAATGAAACCCAAAATAAACTATCTAATCCCTCTGTAAATTCCCAGAGGTTTCAAAACAATTCCAATGCTCCAACAGTAGCAGGTAATTCGTAATAAATAAATAAATAAATCAAAAATGAAATTACAAGAGAGCCTGCTCAATTTTTGGAAAGAGCAGGCTCTTTTAGA